CTTAATTTGGGTTTGTCTGATGTTTTTCTCATGATCAGAAAGCATTTTTGGAAGGAAGACCACAGTGACAAAATGCCATTCTCACCATATTATGTCCAGGGTACTGTTAAAAATCAAAATTCAACTGAGTAAATTTGAAGATCTAATTGACTTTATTAAATGATTAGTGAATCGGCAGCACCCCACCTAGCAAGTAGAGGGGAGCTCTGAGGAGGTGCACAAAATGTAAAGTTTTAATATGAAGGAGAGTAGGGCAAGAAAGTTATTAACAATAGAGAAGGAGTGTTCTAAACAAGGTAGCTTTTCCTTAGGGGGACAAGCAAGGGGTCTTATCATGAAGATTACTTCATCTTCCTTTGGGGGATGGAGAGGGCTCAAGTGGTAGACTCATTGTGGCCATCAGAAATTCCTGACTGACAGGTTAAGACTACATTTCTGCAGGAGGTTGAAATTTGCAACTGGATAAGGCATTAAGCCCTAGTTTGAGGACTCAGCCTTAAGCAATGCCATTTGGGGCCTGTGGGGTTTTTTTTGGTTTGGTTTGGTTTGGTTTTTTGGTTTTCTTTTTGGCTTCTTTTTTAAGATTTATTTATTTATTTGAGAGAGAGAGAGAGAGAGAGGAGGGGCAGAGGGAGAGAGAATCTCAAGCAGACTCCACACTGAGTGCAGAACCCGATGCAGGGCTCGATCTCATGACCCTGAGATCATGACCTGAGGTAAAATCAAGAGTCGGCTGATTAACTGACTGTACCACCCAGGCGCCCCATTTTGTTTTTACAATACATACTATCAACATGACATTACTGTTGATGCTGACTTTGAACACCTGACTGAGGTACTGTTTGTCAGGTTTCTCCACTATAAAGTTACTCATTTCTAACTTTTCTTTCTAGTACTCTTTGGAACAAAGTCACTATGTACAGCCCACACTGACAGTTATGTTCCACCTTCTTAAAGATGGAATATCTACATAAATTATCTAGAATATTTTTGCATGGGAAATTTGTCTCCATCCATTTATTATTCAGTTATTTATTTATATCAGTATACTGATGGATATTTATTTTATACTTTGAGTTATAATCTAATATTACTTTATTTTTTTAAAGATTTTATTTATTTGACAGAGAGAGACACAGCGAGAGAGGGAACACAAGCAGGGGGAGTGGGAGAGGGAGAAGGAGGCTTTCCATTGAGCAGAGAGCCCGATGCGGGGATCGATCCCAGGACCCTGGGATCATGACCTGAGCCGAAGGCAGATGCTTAACAACTAAGCCACCCAGGCACCCCTACTTTATTTTATGCTCAAATTTTTCCACCTTTGGTCATTGGGAGCTGTTTCAGTTGGCTCCTGTGTTCCTTTGACATACTTCTATCACTTTGGGTTGGTTTTTTTTTATGTTGTTTTTGTTTTTGTTAGTTTGCTTTTGTCTTGAGCACATTCTTACTTTCTAGGTCTACAAGTTGCTCCAACTCATCTTGTGAGCTCATCAGTGAAAAAGGCAAATATATCAATATAAAAATAAGCAAGCTTTGAAAAAGTACTTCACAAACCAGGAAATTTAGTTGGCCAATGATCAGAAAGAGGTACTCAATACTAAGTTTTAGTGAGGCTTCCCATTACTAATTTTCACATAATCATCTACTGGATTAGCAAGAGAGAAAAAAAAATCTGACAATACCAACTTTTGGGAGACAAGAATATTGAGCAGAGGGCACTCTCATATGTTGCTGGTCAGACTGTAAATTGGTACAATTACTCCCAGTTGTTTGACATTATCTTAAAAGTAATATCAATAACCATGTGGAGAGATGCATGCCTTATGACATGGCAGTTCTTCTCACTGGGGCATACCTAGGGGAAACTTGTGTTTCTCTGCATCAAGGTACATATTCAAGAATATTCATAGCAACTTTGTTAATAATAGGGAAAAAAAATCTGGAAACAACCCAAATAATAAATAAAAATGAACAAACTACAATAATATGAAATAATTTGGATGACTCTTAAAAGAATATAATGTTGAGACAAAGAGGCAAAACACAAAAGAGTATATAACATTTAATTCCATTTACATTAAGTTCAAAAACAGGCAAAACAAAATCATATTGTTTAGGAATGTATGCTTAGGTAGTAAAACTATAAAGAAAAGCAAAGATGTGATTACCATAAGAGTTAAGATATTATTTCAAAGATGGGGGAGAAAGGGGTTTGTGATATGGACAGAACACAAAGGAGGCTTCTACTTGGTCACCATATTGTATTATGCTGTACATTTATATTTTATGTACTTTTCTAATGTGTTATATTTTATAATAAAATTCTTTTTTATTCTAAAGCACAGGATTCTATATAGAGAATAATCTCAAGTTATGAAACTGGTTAAAAGACATGATTGTCCATTAGGTGTGCACAATTTTATATGATTTTTCACATAAACAAGGAGAAAGGCATGAAATGTAATATGTAAAATACTGATTTAACCCAGGGTGAGAGGAAACAAAGGGAGGAGAGGAGAAGTAAAAAGGAAAGGTGTTCTTTTAAAAAAAGCATGTATGATATATTCCATTTATGCGTGGTTGTGTATGTAGGCATGTGTGTATACATATCATAATACTTGGAAATTTCGTCATTATTATATTAGAGATCTAAGTTTATATTGCTTGAAATTTTTTACTATAAAAATGTATTGCTTGCAATCCCCATCAAAATACCATCCACTTTTTTCAAAGAAATGGAACAAATAATCCTAAAATTTGTATGGAACCAGAAGAGACCCCGAAGAGCCAGAGGAATATTGAAAAAGAAAAGCAAAGCTGGCGGCATCACAATTCCGGACTTCCAGCTCTATTACAAAGCTGTCATCATCAAGACAGTATGGTACTGGCACAAAAACAGACACATCGATCAATGGAACAGAATCGAGAGCCCAGAAATGGACCCTCAACTCTACGGTCAACTCATCTTTGACAAAGCAGGAAAGAATGTCCAATGGAAAAAAGACAGTCTCTTCAACAAATGGTGTTGGGAAAATTGGACAGCCACATGCAGAAGAATGAAACTGGATCATTTCCTTACACCACACACAAAAATAGACTCCAAATGGTTGAAAGACCTAAGCGTGAGACAGGAGTCCATCAAAATCCTAAAGGAGAACACAGGCAGCAACCTCTTCGACCTCAGCCGCAGCAACTTCTTCCTAGAAACATCGCCAAAAGTAAGGGAAACCAGGGCAAAAATGAACTATTGGGATTTCATCAAGATAAAAAGCTTTTGCACGGCAAAAGAAACAGTCCACAAAACCAAAAGACAACCGACAGAATGGGAGAAAATATTTGCAAACGACATATCAGATAAAGGGCTAGTATCCAAAATCTATAAAGAACTTATCAAACTCAACACCCAAAGAACAAATAATCCAATCAAGAAATGGGCAGAAGACAGGAACAGACATTTTTCCAAAGAAGACATCCAAATGGCCAACAGGCACATGAAAAAGTGCTCAACATCGCTCGGCATCAGGGAAATCCAAATCAAAACCTCCATGAGATACCACCTCACACCAGTCAAAATGGCTAAAATTAACAAGTCAGGAAACGACAGATGCTGGCGGGGATGTGGAGAAAGGGGAACCCTCCTACCCTGTTGGTGGGAATGCAAGCTGGTGCAGCCACTCTGGAAAACAGTATGGAGGTTCCTCAAACTGTTGAAAATAGAGCTACCATACGATCCAGCAATTGCACTACTGGGTATTTACCCCAAAGATACAAATGTAGGGATCCGAAGGGGTACATGCACCCCGATGTTTATAGCAGCAATGTCCACAATAGCCAAACTGTGGAAAGAGCCAAGATGTCCATCGACAGATGAATGGATAAAGAAGATGTGGTATATATACACGATGGAATATTATGCAGCCATCAAAAGGAATGAGCTCTTCCCATTTGCAACGACGTGGATGGAACTGGAGGGTGTTATGCTGAGTGAAATAAGTCAATCAGAGAAAGACATGTATCATATGATCTCACTGATATGAGGAATTCTTAATCTCAGGAAACAAACTGAGTGTTGCTGAGTGGTGGGGGTGGGAGGGATGGGGTGGCTGGGTGATAGACACTGGGGAGGGTATGTGCTATGGTGGGCGCTGTGAATTGTGCAAGACTGTTGAATCACAGTCTTGTGATTCTGTACTTCTGAAACAAATAATGCAAGATATGTTAGGAAAAAAGAAAAAGAAGAAGATAGCAGGAGGGGAAGAAGGAAGGGGAGTAAGTCAGAGGGGGAGACGAACCATGAGAGATGATGGACTCTGAAAAACAAACTGAGGGTTCTAGAGGGGAGGGGGTTGGGGGGATGGGTTAGCCTGGTGATGGGTATTAAGGAGGGCACGTTCTGCGTGGAGCAGTGGGTGTTATGCACAAACAATGAATCATGGAACACTACATCAAGAACTAATGATGTAATGTATGGTTGATTAACATAACAATAAAAAATTTAAAAAAATGTATTGCTTAAATAACTGGGAGCAGGGTTGGGGAAGCTAGTCTATCATGAAGGAGAAGAAAAGTAGAATCTGGAATTTTGTACAAGAATCCAGTGTCTAAAATAGTTTACTCTGTCAGAGAGGTTTTTAAGATCTATTTCCCCATCTTGACAGTATACACACACACCCAGACCCCTTTTTTTAATTAAAAAAAATAGTAATTTGAGTACATTGCCCAAAGCTTAGAGATCAGGGAGGTAAAGTTGAAACCCAGGTCTCTGTGATTCCAAATTTCATGTTCTTTTCGTAAAGCAAGCACCACCAGGCAGGAGACCCCACTTCTCTGATGAAGTAATTCAGGTTGAATGGATAGCAAAAGAGAAACCTCAGGATAGGGTGATTTCTAGATATTTAATTAGGATTTTTTAGGTATTTAAAAAGAAGGTGGTTTTTGAAGTGAAACTTCTTTCTAGGAAAGAAATAAACCAAACCACTGATTTTCTCCTCCTTCCTTAGGGCTCCTTGGAAGAGACTGAGGAAGGTGTTCATGACTTAGCGTCCTCCCGGTTTTCTGCCAACACCCACAGTCTAGCAAGTGGCCTGTCAACTGTAAGCACTTCTCTAGCATGTGACTGGAAGCTTCTTCTTTCCCTCATTGATTTTTCTGTACTTTTCCCAAAGGAAGGAGGAATGTTCTTGAGAATATGTGTGACAGTGAGTTAAAAGTCACTCTAATCTCCTGCTTGCCCTTTCCACACAGAGTACTTTTTGGTCTAATTTGGTGTGAGCTTTTCCTTCCCTCTCCTTCCATGGTCCTCACCCAGTTTTTAAAACCTCTTTGCTCCCTAATTCAGGCTCTCATCAGCTCAAGCCCATAAACTATCACAGTTCTCTGCTGATACCTTTCTTTCCCTGCCACCGTCCTGTCTGTCTCAAACTGTCCACCATGCTGTTGCCGTTTTCCCAAAATACATAGCTAGCCAGCTTTCTCTCCTACTCAGACACTGTCCCTAGCTTCTCACTCACTGCCTATAGAATAATGTCCCTTCTTACTTTCATGCTCCTGCCTTTGCTTGAGAGGTTGGCTTTAGGAGCTCCCCGTCCTCATCTACATTTGTGTGTATGTGCCTAAAAATCTTTTTCTTTGCTCCTCTGATTTCTGTCCGTTGCTCTAATACCCTTTTTTCTTTTGACCTTTGGACGACTTTCTTAAAGAATTCTCAAGCAGGCTCTGACAGGAAGTGGACCTACCTAAATGTCCCTGATGCTGACTCAGACACTGTGAGTTTTCAGTCTTTCCTTTTCCTTATTTCCAACCATGCTTTGCAAATTTCATGGTATGGGAAGTCTGATTAGGTGGGCAGTTTTTCCAGCACTTATCTTTCTCTGACTTGTGTACAGTTAACTAGAGTTTCTCTTTAAAGGGTAAACAGCGTTATCGGAATCCAAGTATCCCAAGGAAAGAAAAATTCATTAAACATTAGCATCCGAGCGCCAGTCAAAAGACGTATGGTTCAACATGATTTACCATTAATGAGATACCTTTAGAATAAACATCTCTATTTTAAATCACAACATTGGCTCAGTTAAGAGCATAAAGTTTGGTTAGTAGGAAAATTGCCTTAGCTGCCTTAATTTCTCTCAAGCTTCAGCATTTATGGGTTTTTAAGTTTTCTTCTATCTTTAGGGGCCCCCTGCTTAGTGAGGACTTCTTTGAAGATGTGGCTACTGAGAGATGTGTTGTAGACAGGACTGAGTGATATGAGGAGGTGGGAAGACATGCTGGGGAGGTCCTCAGACTAAAAATCTGGAGCTCTTGCTCCGTGTCTTGGCACTGCCAATAATTTCTGTGAGCCAGTGTTTTTTCATATGTAACATGAGGGGGTAGGGGCTTATTCATGAAGCCCTTGGAGGTCAAAGAATAGTCCATGGACCAGCAGCCTTGCCTCACTCGGGGCAAAGACTCTAGCACTTTGTCAGTTCACAGAGCCCCTAGTGATTCTTTCATCCCACCTGAGCCAAAATTAACACCTGACTAACCCATTTATTAAGTAGCTAGTGATGTGAAATATTGGAGTTCAGGAGCGAATTCTTGAAGCATCTTTGGTGCAAAAAGGTGGTTTTATTAAGGCATAGGGACAGGGCCCATGGGCAGAAGGAGCTGCACTAGAGTTGTGAGGAGTGACTTGATTATACACTTTCAAGTTGGGAGGGGGTTGGGGATAGCATAAGTCTCTAAGGAATTTGGAAGCAAGGTTTCCAGGACCTTGAGGGGGCTAGCTGTTGTTAGGGTAAGGTCATTTACTACTGTCTAGTAAAACCCTAGTCATGAGACCCTTCGGATGTATATCAGCGAGCCATATGCTTGGAGGATGACTGCTAACCTATATCTTGGGGGCTAGTAGAGCTAAAGGAAGTTTCCAAAGGGATTTTTATCTATTAAAGAAGACTTATGGGATCCTGGAGGTGGGCTAATGTCAAGCTAAGGTTGCCTTTTGCCTGTAGCAAAAGTATTAACATTGAGGCAGTTGAGTTCCTGGAGGAAGGTCACCCTTCCTATCTTAGGTATTTGTCAATGGGCTGCAAGGGAAATTTAATTCCTTTCTATATTTCCTGTGCCTTTGTTCTCCACACCAGTTAGGTCAAAAAAACTTTGTAAGCACTGGTATCCTAACAAGTTAGTAGACATGCAAAACAATAATACACATACATTGAAAGAAAAATAATTTTATTCCATTCTTAAATAGCCCTTAATCCTTATTAATGGGACATGGGTACCTGTTGGGCACTTCACAACCACATGGTTGTGGTTGCTGTCCAACCACCACTTTTGTGGTGGACAGCACCACTTTTATTTTCTGTTCCATGTTGATTTTTATGCAGTACTTGCTTATTTTTCACAGCAACTGTCGAAAACTCAGCTTCACACAGGACTTAACTGAAAGAATAAATTGTGATTTAATGTTGACACTGTGAACTACTGCTAAGAGTCTGCATGGTGTCTGATCGATGTCACTGTGTTTCCCTTGAAATTTTAAAATACCCCGCGGTCCCCCCCCGCGGTCCCCCTGTGAGGTTGCTGTGGTGCTCTGGGATGCCTCAGTACACATTTTGCAAACTGTGGACCTAGGAGTTTGTTAGAAAAGAAGACTCTGAGACTGACTGCATCAGAATCTTCATTTTAACAAGATCCCCGGGTGATTTATGTGCAATTAAAAGTTTGAAAAACACTGCTCAAAGCCACCTGTTACTATGAAAATTCTGTTTTGTTCTAGGAATGGGAAAGACAAATCAGCTCACTCACTGGCTCTCTTGAAATTATAATTTCTAAGTAATTAGGGAATTCTTGGTGTACTCTTGACCTTGACTTAAGCTTAGAAGAGATACTTGCCACATGGCCCGCATCCTGTTCTTTGATCAGGCTCTGAGCAACTAGAGGAATGTCATGACTTTTGTTATGCATAACAGACAAAAGTGGGAAGTCTAGGCTCTGTTTGTACTTACTCTAGTCCTTCCCAGTGGTTCACAGACAGGGCTCTTGAAACTGCTGGGTCACTCATGAAAGCCTTCCAAGTGGTCTCTTGTGACAGTCATGTTGCTAAGATACAGTTTTGGCACTAAAGGATAATTTTGTTACATTTAATTTAAAATGTGTCTCTTGTCACTAGTGATTTCAAATAAAATCAGAAATTTTATTCATTCTGGTAGATTTGGACTTTTTTTTTTTTTTTTACATTTTATTTGTTTGTTGGTGTGTTAATTGATTATTTAGTGTTCTATTTTTGTGGGTGGCTATTTTACAGAGGTTCACAAAGCCCTGGTCTTACACTACCTATGTAACCAAAACAGCGGCCTGGGGAATTCACAGCAGCCAAGGGTAAATGACGTTCTGGCATGCCCTTGTTTATGGCTGCAGTTAGGGCTTCCCAGAGACTGCTGGGATGCTCTCTGTGGGTGTCAGAGAGAGAAACTTGTGGCTCCTGCTCGTACGGAATATAGGAGCTTCTCTTTGTCCTGATGGATGCATTCTAGACCTTGGGGTAGGTTGACCTTGAGTCTACCAGCGAGAGAGGCAAAAGCTACAGGGGTGGGGAGAGGACGCGGGATTGGAAGTGCTTCAATGACCCTGTATTCGTTAGAAGTGAATAAACAAAGGCTATTCACTTGCCCCTCTCCGCAGGTTTCCTGCCTTCCTTTCCAATACTCCTTAAGTCTTCTTGTCCCTTGTCAGGCTTGGGTTTTATACGGTACCCGAAAACCAAACAAAACAAGTGATTTTTGCTTTCTTCACTCACCCTGGACTTTGCTGCTCCTTATAAAGAATAAGAATTATAATTGAATAAAGGGGGTGGATTCTGTGTAGAGCTAATTAGAATAACCCTGGACACCTCTTCTCATCTTGTTTATTCCAGACCAGCCTTAACAGCATGATGAGTGTTTACAGTGAAACAGGAGACTATGGCAACGTGAAGGTCAGTGGTGAAATCCTTCTCCACATCAGCTACTGCTACAAAACTGGCGGGCTCTACATTTTTGTCAAGAATTGCAGAAATCTGGCCATAGGAGATGAAAAGAAACAGAGGACAGATGCGTAAGCACGTAGCATATTCCTCGAACTGTTTCAATCACTGTTTTCTTTGTCAGTATGTGTGGTTTTGTCTTAGCATTCCTCTTGATTCAGAGCCTTCTCAGAAGGTCGATTGTCATTTTCCTCTTGTGCGACACTTCTAAATATTCTCTAAGTGTATGTATAAGGGTTGTGTCCATGATTATCTGATTTTTCCAAAGCCACGAGTTGATATGATTCAGGACTGACATATTTGTAATTTACACAGAGGCAGCTCTATGATAGAAGCTGGCTGACACATCAGCATACCCCGGGATCTCTGAGTATCCCGTTCTGGGAGACCCTCCAGAGAAAATCACCAAGCTGTTAGCTTAATTGAACAACTCAAAAGGACAATTTTGAGGTTCTCAGGATTCCAGATATTAGCTGGGAGGCAGATATGGACCATTGGTACATTGGAAGGGAGCTAGATGAAAGATGTGTCAGGGGCTCCCAAAGTCATTGCCAGACTTGATGATTTACTAGGAAGAGTCACAGGACTCCACTTGTCATAAGCAGCAGAGAAAAAAGGCATGTGTGGTGAAGTTCTGAAGAATCCAGGCTTCAGCTTCCAAGCATCCTCCCCCACTGGAGTCACACATGATGTGCTTAATTCCTCCAGCAACAAGTCGTGGCAGCACCAACTGTCACGTATCAAAATTCCAGTCTCCGTGAAGGAAAGCAGGTGTTCTGCCTAAGCCATATTGTTTTTACAAATAGTTTAGTCACAGTGAACCACTTACATCTGCTCTGGGAGTGATGAGAATCCTCCTAAAATCCAAGTTTCCAGATGCCGGCCAATGGCAAATGTTGTAAGCAGGCATTTCCGAGGACAGCAATCTGAGGCCAGCTGTGTTACCCCTTTCCTCCATAAAAATAGGTGACCTAGGTCCAATAAACAACTCAGAGAAGCTGTTTCCAAGTGTCTAAAGATAGACAAATGGGAATGGGGCACCTGACTGGCTCAGTCGGTGGAGTGTGCTTGCTCTTGATCTCAAGGTTGTGAGTTCGAGCCCCCATGTTGGGTGTAGAGATTACTTAGTTTATTTTTTTTTTAAAAGATAGACAAATGAGTGGATTCTGAGTATAGATGGGTCCACCTACTTCCTCAGCTGAATATTCAAAGGGCTTCAGGACCAGTATAATCATTTAGAGTAGCATGGAAAGAGGTCATCTAAAGCCCTGGTAGATGTGCTTCACAGCTCTGGTAGCACCTTGTACGTTGCAGTCTTGTACATCTTGTGCATTTCTAAGTTTGCCTTGATACCCCTGCTCCAGGAAGCTCCTGGGATATCCCAACACAAGGTGTCAGGTAGAATTGCTTTTGTGACACCAGGTTGTTATTTCCTATTTGTTCTTTTTCACCATTTTCCTTCATTCATCCATGACCTTCGATTCCACTCATCAGAAGTTCTGACATCGGAATAGAGAGCAATATAACCCTACAGTATTTTGTGAGACCATTGATCCTATGAATAGATGACATCTATTGAGAAGTATAACATGTCAGCTCCCTGTATGTATCAACCAGTTTAATCCTTGCAATGCTGTAAGTTAGATACTGTTATTATCCCAGTTTTACAGATGAGGAAACTGAGGCACAGAGCAGTTAAGTAAGTTCTTGAGTTTACCAAAACCAGTGAGGCATGGAGTGATTCAAGCCTAGCTGGCTTGACTTCAGAGCCCACACTCTTCATCACAATACTTTACCGCTTCTCTCTTATTGGAAGCCCAGAGTTATATTTTAAGGTGTCCTGCCATGTAGACTACATTCTCTCTGGTTCTCTCATGTTTGCTGGCCTATTCCCTTCACCTCTTTTATTCACTGAAATTCCTGACTATTCCTTGCCAAGTAGATGTCTTTCAATAATTACTTTCATGTTTTATCATCTACAGTTATGTCAAGTCATACCTTCTTCCTGACAAGTCCAGAAACAATAAGCGCAAGACCAAGGTCAGAACAGGCACCAATCCAGAATTCAATGAGACACTGAAGGTAAGTACATGCTTTCTCATATTCACGCAAGTGATACCATTCATATCCTCACTGGTTTAAAATTGACTACGGAGGATTTGCATGTCCAGACTTAAATATCTTTTAGAAAAGTAGAATTTGAATAAATTCGTGTCATGCCCTTGGCTTTCCTAACAGTTTTTGGAAAAACTGTAAACCACCCTTACTTGGCTTATTTCTCGCTGCTGCTAAAGTGACACCTGGAGTAAAGATGATCCAGTGAAATTCCATCTGAGCCGGGGCATCTTGTCAAAAAATATGTTTCACCCTTGGGAAAACTGTTTTTCCTAGTTCCCCTTAAAAGGAGTTTGTCACAGTTTTGACACTAACTTAGCAAGTCACTTTGTGCACACTCCTCATTCTGCTCACACAGCATGAGTATGTGCTATTTCTTGTCAGGTTTCAGAGTTGGGCTAAATTTAGGCCTGTGGTTAATGAACAGTGGAGATGCACGGCTGGATTTGAGGAACCTCAGGGGAAGTGGCCCCGATAGGACATGACCCAGGCCCCGATCCTGGAGATATTCTTTCCCCCATGGGCTTCTATGTAACAACCCCTTCTCCCACCCTGGACCAATCTAGCCTGGTAAGAAAGATCCGGAGAGGCTGGAATGTAGAAGTTATTGCCAGTCGCAGGGAAATGTATGGACCTTGTACCCAGAGTGAGGGAGTCAGAATTCACCATAGCAGGAAGTTGGTGAGTGGGGACATCCATCAGTGGGGTCATGCATGTTTGGAAGCAGGAGCCAGTATGAAGACAGATCAAAATGAGGATGAATGAATACAGGCAGGGGGTGAATCTGGTGGCTCTAACAAGGTAGCAAAGATGAGCCCAAGCAGAATAGATAGAGTGACATGGCAAATTCAGGAAGCAGGGAGCCAAGGTCAATCACGCCAGGACCGGCAAAGATGGGTATAGAAGCAAATCCAAGTTCAAGAAACAGTCTGCAGTGTGCCTCAGGTGGGAGTTGCATAGAACTAGCAGGAAGTTTGAGGGTGTATAGGCATGTGGCTGTGGTTCACATTCTGCTGAAAAGGAAAAGCTACCCCAGCAGTATTTTCTTTCCGCTCAGTCTCTGTATTGGTCTCCTCACTCCTGCACTTATGCGAGACTTGATGAAGTTTGGTGTTTGCAAGTTTCTCACTGAGGATACTTTCCTGGATTTGGGGGTTCTCGTCATAACTAAAATAAGACAGAGAAGTTGGAGAGTTGATATAGCAAACATTAAGCTTACAAAGGAGAGGTTGAAAAACGATTCGCAGATGAAAACGGGGTAAAACTGGAAAGGGGACAGTCTTCATTACCTAATACTTTTAATATACTATTTGAAGTTTATTGACTTCTTCCTAAATAATTGGCTGATACATCTTTCAGTGCGAGGTCTAACACAAAATGAGTTCATGGCATAGAACCCCCGTTGTAGCATAAACAAGGAAAAATACAGTGGGCTTGTGTGTGTGTGTGTGTGTATGTGTGTGTTTCATTCATGTTACTAGTGTGTATGATCTGAAAGATGACGAAAGTAAATTTCAGCCTGTGGTAGAATTGGGCAGAGCCCTCCACATGGAGTGTGATGTTGTGACTCTCGTTTGCAGTACACCATCAGCCACACCCAGCTGGAAACAAGAACTCTGCAGCTCTCAGTCTGGCATCATGATCGATTTGGACGTAACAGCTTCCTTGGGGAGGTGGAGATTCCTTTTGACTCATGGAACTTTGAAAATCCAAATGATGAGTGGTTTGTGCTTCAGCCCAAGGTAGGAAATGCCTCCAGATTAATCGAACAGTTATGGAATGAGACAGGTTAGGAACAAAATTGATGTCATAGGCCTAGAGAATCTGAAGACTTCTCTCATTTTCAAGTGGTAATCTGAACAGATGAGTGCAGCTGATTTTGGAATAATATAATACATGTAAATCCTTTCCTTGGAACTCCTTCTTTAATACAGACCGTCTGTACAATGCAAGTCACATAGTCCTATGTATTATTAATTTGACTTACTAAAAATGTACTCATCATTTGAAGGTCTCCATGGATTAAAAAAGGGGAGTACATTATATGATCCTATCAGAAAGAGAAAGCATTCAATTTCCCATAGACAAAAACAAATCCATAGAGCCAATCAGTCTTAAAACATTCTCTCTATTCCCCATTCTCCACAATTCATACATAAGCAGGAGTGGCCTTGCCTTGACTCACATGAGGAAGTAAGGAGTAGCTAAAGTATCTGGTTTCCTATATTCCTACTTTTGAGATTCATAACCCAGGTTTTAAGTTATAGTCAGAAAAACAGTCTTAAAGCTGGTTCTAGAAATTAAATGCAATATAGCATGTTCTAGACCAATAGTACCTTGGATTCACTCTATGCAACCGGAGGCTCTCTACATTTATAGTAATTCTTAAGTCGAAAGTGGGATGAGAAAAGGTCACATTTATGTAACCGAAGATTGTTCTTTATATACAGAGAGGCAAAAAGAACATGATGGTAAAGATAGTAGACTCAGTTCAGATTTTCTGGGTTCAGTCCTGGCTTCATGACTATCTGTGTGACACTGGGCAAATTAACTTCCCAGACTTTGATGTTCTCGTTTGTGATATAATAACTGGACATATCTTACTGGGATGTTGTGAAGCTTGGAGAAGCACTCTGCAATGCTCACAGTATTGTGTCGGGCACGTTTTAAGCTCTCAATAAATGCTAGGTAGTGTTTATGTTACATCAGAATCCTTGTATTGCAATTGACAGAAACCCCAGCCCATACCACTCAAAAAAGGAAATTACTGACCAGTGATTATCAAGCATGGCTTCACCCAGATAACTCACATCGTATCAAGGCCCTGGACTCTCTTGGTCTCTCTTCTCTGTGTTGGCTTCATTTTGAGACTCTGTGCAGTTGGCCTCCATCACTAGCTCTACTATGCTTCTCTTGGACGTTACAATACGTGTAAGCCCCTCCTCCTTGCATCACACGACCCGGGAGAGGGAAAATGCCCTCCTCTTTCCAGCAGTCCACCCAGCACCCTGGGCCTGGTTCTCCTCATTCTGATGACATCATTTGCCCATCCTGAGCTAATTGCCGTGGCCGGCCAGGGAGGTGAGGTACGTTGGCTGACTTAAGACAATCAGAATCTACCCTGGTCCTGAAGGTAGTATTGCCCCAAAGGAAATCCAGGTATAGTAGTTCTAAAGGAATGGTGAGTGGAAGCTGAACAGCAACACATGCGTGGATCAGCAGCAGCAACAGCATTGTTCACCACAAACATCATGAGGTAAGTATCATCATTTCCATTGTATCTGAGGAGATGGAGACTCAGAAGTTAAATACAACTTTCTGGTAAGAGTTTTAGAACTATTGACCTCAAGCTTGGTATAAATCCCTCATGGAAAATCTTTGGGAAGTATAATTGGGCTGTGGGTAAAATTAATAATAAAATATAATAAAAGTCCTTAAACATAAAATAACTTCAAGCCCCTGACTGACAGAAATATGATAGGAAATACAAGAGTCACAAGAAATAAGTCTGCAAGAGTGTAACATTCCCTTGACATTAAGCATGGAAATAATTGGTCATTAAACACTGAATCTCTTGGAGTGAGAAGCCTCACCATGAAGGATAGCACTTAATCTGACTCAACAGTCTCCTGTCACTCGCTTCCTTTTGTGTGTGATGGGTGAGCACCACAGAATCATAGTTAGAAAATGTCCAAGACATTATGTGAAGCATGATGCAGATGAAGGACAAATAACATTCATTTTAGCACATGAAATTAACTTGTCATAAATTTAACATTAAAGCACATAGGGGCTCTTTGGAAAACAGCTTGGAACGTTCCAGTCAGTTTCCTGGAAATGGTTGAAGGACTTGCGCTGGGATGATATCTAAGCTCTCCCAGGCATATCCTCTGTGCTTAGGGACCAGCCACTTTCTGTGGTAGTCACCTTCACATTGCCACTGAGTGATTTCACTTTCTTTTATTTTAAAGATTTTATTTATTTATTTGACAGAGGGAGACACAGCGAGAAAGAAAACACAAGCAGGGGGAGTGGGAGAGGGAGAAGCAGGCTTCCCGCGGAGCAGGGAACCCGATGTGGGGCTCGATCCCAGGACCCTGGGATCATGACCTGAGCCGAAGGCAGACGCTTAACGACTGAGCCACCCAGGCGCCCCTTCACTCTCTATCATAAGGGAGAAGCAGCTCTCAGGCTGCTCCAGGTAGAAAAGTTCTGATTGAGTGTAACATCTGGAACTCTTTGGTCCTCTGCCAGATCCCCTTGGATTCCTTTAACCGTGACTGTTAGGAATTTTGCCTCCAACAGCCTTCACCTGAGACTCTGTTTAGAAGACTGTTCCCAGGCTACTGTAGCTTTTCCAACGAGTGGAGAGAGTCAGAAGCTCCTAGGAACTTATGTACCGCCTACCACGAGGCAACTCTTTGCCAATAACTCATAGATGGGGGAGTCCGAAAGCCCAGTTCCCTTACTGAGAGTGGCAGGGGCAAGGAGGGTGGTGCTCCAAGGCATTACTTATACTCTGCAGCTTCCCTGCTAGATCAGGCTATCCCCTTGCCTGGCTTCCTCCTGACCTTTTTCCTGGTCACCCCTTCCCTGGTCTATCCTAAGACCTAAATCACGTGCGTTAAGAATCCTCATCTCAGAGTGAGCCTCTGGGGAACCCCACAGAGCTTCGTGTCTTTAATCCATGTCATCTTTCTCTGCCAAGAAAAAGATGACACACAGACACATATATGCGTCTCTGACACATATAGACACATAGACGTGTCTCTGATACGTGTAGAAGACAGCCCGCAGTTTCAGCCTTGTTTGGACGCCATGTCTTCCAGAAACGGGGAGGACAGGTGCTACGTACTCCGTAGGCTGCCTCCTATTCATTGGTGGCTCATCCTCAGGCTGAGCTGGGCTCTGGGTGGTGGATTATCAGCTGACTTCGAGAAGCGTCGCTTCGTTTTCAGTCTCCTGTCTCAGTCCCTTCATCAGCTGCAGCTAGAGTACGAGCAGCCCTGGAGACTTGATGTTTCCTTGTAGATTATCCAGCTAAGGAGGTGAAGTGTAAGCCACAGGGACCAATTTCCTTAGTGATAGAGGATCAGAATGAATAGTCCTTCGGCGTTCGGAAATACTGACATCCCTTTGCAGTGGGAATACGGGAAAGACACAGTGCCTCATTTCTTATTGACTCCATGTTAGTGAACGTCCCTCGGCCCCTGCCTTTGTTTTTGCTAAGACTTACGGCACTAAGCCAGTGAGGAGGCTGGTGCAGACAGAGGAAGAACTCAAGTTGTCAAGTGGGCTGTAAAGCAGTTTCACAGTACGACTTCCATTTTACTGCATGACAGGAGATTGTTTATTAGCTGTAACTCATTATCTTTCTGAAAGGCATATTAGGTAGGTAGACCAGAAGGGTTTGTCAGTATGAATTGCCTTTCATGTCTTCCCAGAGGTGCTATTATAAAAACAAGGAGCTTTGAAAATCAACAGCAAGCTCAAGTGTTTTCCAAGGAAATCTTCTCTGTTCTGCCTTCAGGTGGAGAGTAAATGCAAGTTCCTGTGAAATTATTACTGAGCTAAAAGGCCTCTCTCTCTATTTGGAGGTTTGGGCAGACTTTTGTCCATAATTTATGACCCCCACCTTAGACCTGAAAATGTCCTGGGAACTCTGCTTCCAACTCCGATGTAATGTGGATCTCCTCAAAAAGCAGAAGATAATGGGGGTTGCCTGATGATGCCACCCCCCTGCTCCGTCACATACCCTCACTGGTTCCCTACTGCCTTTGGATATGCTTTGAATAAATCCTAACTCATGACCCTGGCACTTAGTGCTCCCTTAATAGGGCCCCACCTTCTGTAACAGAGGAGGATGTCACTGCTCTACCTGGATCCCCAGTTTCATGCATATGTGGCTCCCCATGGCTTTCGCTCATACCAGCCAACACCTGCCAATCTTTGTGAGAGAAGGGCCCTCAGGCTGCGGGTGTGGGCTTGGTCTGTGGGCATGAAAAGCCAGAATATCCTGAGTATTTAAGCTTTCTGGGGGTGAAGGGCAGAGCCCTTGATCAGTAACTGATGGGCGAAGGAGCATCATCAACACTCTCATTCCCTTGTCTCTGGTTGGGACAGCTCTTGGAGATGTGATCTGTCTTGTCTGCAAAGCTCCCCTGTGGAACTGAGAGAAACTTACCATAAAACTTTGCCCAATATCACAACCTTGTTAAGCCTTCTTCAGTTTGTGGTGCCACTTCCTCACTCCCCTTCCTAACAAAACACACTAAGATAAATTTGTGTTTTAGGGTCTTCCGGGCAACCCAGAGTAGAAACCTCTTTTTCATCTTCCTTGCTACTACCTCCCTTCGCACACACCTCTAATCACACCTGACTTCCCATCAGCTTTTAAACACATTTTACACAGTCCCCACTGAATCTTGCTCATACTATACTGTTTTCTTAACCCAGACTGACCTTCTTCCCATCCCCTCTTTATCAGCCATCCTATCTCCCATCCTTTAAGCACCGGGCAAAGGCCACCTCTTTATCTCAATCTAGATGATTCTCTTTCTTCCCACAGTAGTTTCTTTGTACCTGTACTGAAGCAACTGTCATCCTTGGTCTGAGCTGAGCTTACAATAGTAGGTCAGTTCATGAAGCCACAGAAATCACACACATACAAACATACACCCCCAGTGCATTTCTTAATCATTTATTTTAACTTAAAACAAGTGTGCATTGATTTTCAAGTCTTTTAATATAGGGATAATCCGTTTCGTTTGAGTATAGTTTCGTTGATTAGAATTCTGTTCTATCTTCCTGGCATAAATTCTGATCCTAGTGCATTCTTATCAGTGGTTTCTAGTTTGAGCTTTTCTGAAATGCAGCAAGAACTTGAGAATGCTTTCAAAGTAAACCAAATATAAAAGCTTTCTAAAAATTCATGATTGTTTTCTAATCTTTTATAGCTTCGAGCCCAAACATAATGGCAAATTTATTTTCAAATACTTAGTTCTTTGAAAGTATGCATATTAATTTTTATAGTAGTAGCTGTCTTTTTGCACTCTTCAGTTTATTGATATGAAATTATGTAATTAGAACCAGAGACGTGTCCGGCATAAGGAACCTGGGAGACGAATGCAGCTGGCTTTTGATAAGCATACAGTTCAGCTGATAGGAGTAGGCATGCATGGTCTTTGTATAGAGGATCCTGCTCTTCACTAGGACTGGAGAACATTAATCTGATGAGTCAGTTAAATAAGGGCAGATTTATAGAGCTTCTATTGAATATATATCTCCTGGATAGACTGAAAACTCAGCAGGGTCTGTCTCTTATGTGTCTCAGCAGCACTTAGCAAAATGCCTTCAAAGCATCACTACAAGAAGGCATCCCATATGTGTTGGTAGGATTGAATGAGTTGAATTGAATTGAGTTGAATTCTACCTTTCTCGGAGCAAAAGGTGGTTGAATGATGTAAAATGATGGTGTGTCAGGGGATGACGTTGCCTTGGAATTTCCTTGCAAGAATACCCGAACTATCCCAAGATATTTATTAGCCATGTACAGGCTGCAAGATGACTCCCTCCCTTGAATTTCTTTTGTATGTGATTATAATGCTACAGGCCTTCATCTTTACTCTTTTCTACTCTTACAAGATTTCAAGACTGTATTTATAGAAAGTCACCAGTATGTTTTAATTAATTTAAGCTAAATACCAGTGGAACATTAATAAATCCCAGTATCACATGTTCTAACCTCTACTAATATATATTAGTATGTGACACCTGCACACATCACTTTTCCTACCAACATATTCTCCCATCCAAAGCTCTCAGCTAAAAGCAAATAGAGCCTGCATTGGTTAGCTATTATATAGAAAACGATTCTAAACCTTAGTGGCTTAAAACAATTTCTTATTGCTCATCCTTCTGTGGGGTGACTAGGCTCAGGTGGGTGGTTCTCAATGAAGGTGTCTCATGTGGTTGCAGATGAGACAGATGGTAGACTGAGGCTGAAGTCGTATGAAGGATTGAGTGGGCTGGTTGTTCAAGTTGGCTGTCTCACACTTACTGTTAGCTGCCAACCTGAGTACCTACATGTAGCCTCTTTCTGTGGCTTGGGCCTCAACACCATGGGTCCTCGGAGGGAGTATCCCAAGGATAATCATTCTAAGAGAGGAAGTAGAAGCTGTTGATCCTGGGCTTGGGGCCCAGAAACTGGCACATTGTCACTGGTGCCATGGTCTACTGGTCAAACCAATCACAGGGTCCACTCAGATCTGAAGAGAAAGGATAAATACCCCACCGCTCACGGGCTATAGCATGAAAAAAGTAATGACCTCTTTAATTTGCTATAATGCCCATTGCAACTTTCCCTTTGTGACATTCACATAAAGTAAAATTTACTGAAACTGTCAAAACAACAAGAAAAATCCTTTTACAAAGCATGTGATTTAATTAGATTAAATATTAGATGGGTAGTCTATTTCACTGTCTAATCTCATGTTTGCTCCTGGTAAGAAGGTTGAATAAAATACTTCAAATGATTTTCCCACCTTTACTGATAAGTTTTCTCACCACCAAGAGGAAAGTCAGGCAAGGATTCCTTTTCCTGGTAATGGTCTCAGTCATCTTTGCTGAGCCTTGTTGAACAGGCTCTGGCTTTGCTGTTTGAGTTTGGGGGTTTCTGCCCTCTCAGAAGACAGCAGTTCTCAGTCCTTGACTCAGCATCCAGGAGCCAGGTTCCTGAAGGAAAGGCCTAAGAAAATATGCCAACTTTCTTAACCCATTTATGAGAAGTCAGTTGAATTGACTCAGTGGCAACTAGGAGCTTTAGAGAACAAAGGCTCTGGGTATATGTTCACATTGAATTTTTTGAACTGAAACTTTTGATTTTGAGATGATTACAGATACACATTCAATTATAAGAAATAATACAGAGAGATCTCATGTACCCTTTGCCTAGTTTCCCCCAATGGTAGCTTGCAAAGCTAGAGTGCATTGCCACAACCAGGGTGATGACATTGATACCACCCCTCCGTCTTCTTCAGAGTTCCTCACTTCTCATTTGTGTGTGTGTGTATGTGTGTATTTAGTTCTATGAAACTTTATCACATGTGTAGCTTTATCTACCACTACAGCCAAGATACAGAACAGTTCCATCATTGCAAAGATCCCTTGTGATCTTTTATAGCCACATCGACCTCCCTTCGGACACCCCTCCCTAACTCCTAGCAACCACTAATCTGTTCTCCGTATCTGTTATTTTGTCACTTCAAGAATGTCATTTCAATGGAATTGCATGGTATGTATCCTTTTGAGCTGGCTTTTTCACTCAGCATAATTCTGTAGAGATTCATCCAAGTTGTGTGTATTGCCAGTTCATTCCTTTTTACTGCTGAGTAGTATTCCATGGTATGGCCGTTCCACAGTTTGTTGCACCAGTCACCTCCTGAAGGTCATCTAGTTCATTTCCAGTTCAGGGCTATTCCAAATAAAGATGATATAAATATTTACATACAGGTTTTTATGTGGACGTAATCTTTCATTTCTCCGGGATGAATGCCCAAAAGTGCAGTTGCTGCGTTGTATGGTAGTTATATGTTTAGTCTTATAAGAAACCGCCAAACCGTTTTCCAGAGTGGCTACACCATTTTACCTTCTCACCAGCAATGTTCAAATGAACCAGTTTTTCCACACTGAGCCTGATGTGGGACTTGAACTCACAACCCTGAGATCAAGACCTGAGCTGAAATCAAGAGTCGGACGCTTAACCGACTCAGCCATGCAGGCGCCCTTCCACATCAAATTTTAATCATGTGAATCACAAATAAAGCTTTCAATAATTGGTAGCTGGGCAGCCCAATGTGAATCAAACATTACTGGCTATTTCCCCCTCTTGGTCACTTAGGAAAGCCTCGAGACATCAAGAACAGACAGGGAGAGGTGTCTTCGGGAGCTGTTCTCAGTGGTATCTATTTGTGCCTCATACCCCAAACTATATGTTCGGTGATAGGTTCTGGTCCTGCACCACAGGCAGGCAGTAGCCACTGACCCACCACACGTGTGTCATATATATCTCCTCTCAAATTCCTTTTACTTTAATGTTAAAAGTTACACACAAATACTTGCATAAAGTTTTCCAGCCTCTCTCTTCTCGTACCTAAGGCATATCTTAAACCAGTAAGTGCTAATATAGTTGAATGGGAATGGATTGTTATATTTAAGCCAGCAAGTAAATATGACAAGACCACTCAAGCATGGGCTACAAAATAATAAACCAAGCATTCTCACTTTTTCTCTTCACCTGTCTCCCTTTGGCCAGGTGGAATTTGCTGCGGACATAGGCCTTCACTATAAAGGAGAGCTAACAGTTGTTTTACGTTACATCCCCCCAGAGGAGAACCTGATGCTTCCTCTAGAAGAAGTTCAAGGTAGAGTAAAAATCAGTGACTTTGACCAAGGACATCCTGTGTCTAGAAGTATGGGAATAGGGATCAGGAAGTGGTTGGACTATGTTACTTTGGCATTACACAGATGAAAATGTAAAGCTTAGAGCTTGCACAGTTCTAAATTTTTAAGACTAAAATACCCAAGAAGGAAGTTATGGAATTTTCTCTTTTGGAGTCTTGGCACTTCTGTGTGGCTTTCACTGTAGCTCTTTCTCACTGAGAGCAAGAATGTGGTTCAGGCAGCTCTCAAGAGTCTTTTCCATTTTGTTCCACTATACCCTGTAAAAAGGTACTCCTTGTTGGGAAGTATTTAAAGTTTTACATTTATTCATTTTTTTCAACAAACACAAATGAAGGACCTATCCCAAAGGAATCTGGTGGGGTAGAAACATTGAGATAAGTCCATGGAAAAATACACAATAACATAAAGACCCAGTTCAGTCAGCAAATGAAATAAATCTTGGCAGATTTTCTTGGTGAATTTTGAAATGGAACCCGTGAACTCTCTCTCCCTCCCCTTCCTGCTCCCTCTCCCTCCCCTTCCTGCTCCCTCTCCCTCCCCTTCTTCCTCCCTCCCTGTCCATCTCTCTCTTTTTGATGGCTGATGCAGGAAAGAAGACCTTCAAAAGGGGAAAGAAGAAGGAGTCACCTGTAATCTCTGGAGGAATCCTGGAAGTGTTCATCAAAGAGGCAAAAAATTTGACAGCAGTGAAGTCAGGAGGCACTTCTGATAGCTTTGTGAAGGGGTAATTTTGTTCTAACTCATTTTAGAAGATATTTAATGGGACAGGAGAAGATCTGTGACCCAGGAGACAGTGGTGGCTGAGACTTCCATGTTCATCTTACTCTAAATGGACGAGGAAAGAGCTACACTTAAATGCTGGCTTTTAGATCTGAAACAACATGAGTCTAGAGGGAGCTGCTTATTCTAGCTTCCCACTTGCTCCCAGCATATTTCAGGGTTTCCCATCATTCTCACCCTCAATACTGGCAGATTTTACTGGGTGATTCATTTCTTAAAGGAGGAGAAAATATGATTTTCTGTGTGTAATATATTTTTATTGTGCTTTGTTATCATTTGGTATTGGCAATAAACAACAGCAACAAAAATACTGAGTCCTTGGTATTTTGCTCTCCTAGGGGAAATTGTAAAAAGTAGAGATTTCAGAGCATCCTCCCCAGAGACACTGACTGGAGAATGCTTTGGAGGAAGCATATTTCTTTTTTTCAGTTTCTTTCTTGTGACTGATTGCTAGTTTCATAGCACTGTGGTCAGAATAGATGCATGGTATGATTTCAGTCTTCTCTGGTTTATTGAGGCCTGTTTTGTTGCCTAACATGTGATGTATTCTGGACGGTGTTCCATATGGCCTTGAAAAGAATGTGTAGTCTGTTGTTGTTGTGGAATGGAACGTTCTGTATACATCTGTCATGTCCATCTGGTCTAATGTGTTATTCAAGGACACCTTTTCCTTATTGATTTTCTGCCAGGATGCCTATCCATTGATGTAAGTAGGGTGTTAAAGGTCCTTGCTATTATATTACCATTAATTTCTCTCTTTATATCCATTAATATTTGTTTTAGGTATTTAGGTATTCCAATATTGGATGCATAGTTATTTACAATTGTTATACCCTCTTGTTGGATTGATCCTTTTATCATTTTTTTTTAAAGATTTTATTTATTTCACAGAGAGAGACAGCGAGAGCAGGCACACAAGCAGGGGGAGTGGGAGAGGGAGAAGCAGGCTTCCCGCCGAGCAAGGAGCCCGATGTGGGGCTCGATCCCGGGACCCCGGGATCATGACCTGAGCCGAAGGCAGACGCTTAAGGACTGAGCCACCCAGGCGCCCCAATCCTTTTATCATTATGTAATGCCCTTCTTTGTCTCTTGTTACAGTCTGTTTATTTTTTTTAATTAAATTAAATTTAAATTCAATTAGCCATCATTAGTTTCAGATGTAGTGTTCAGTGACTTATCAGTTGTGTCTAACACCCAGTGCTCATCATATCATGTGCCCTCTTTAATGCCCATCACCAGCTACAGTCTGTTTTAAAGTCAGTTTTGTTTGATATAAGTATTGCTATCCCAGCTGCCTCTTTTTTTGCTTCCATTTGCATGGTAGGATTTTTTTCATCCCTTCACTTTCAGTCTTGTGTGTGTCTTTAGGTCTGACGTGAGTCTCTTGTGGGCACAGCAGATAGATGGATCTTGTGTTTTTTATCCATGCCACTATCCTCTATCTTTTGGTTGGAGCATTTAGACCATTTATATTTAAAGTTATTATTGCAATGATGTGGATGGAGCTAGAGGGTATTATGCTAAGCGAAATAAGTCAATCAGAGAAAGACAATTATATAATTTCACTCGTATGTGGAATTTAATAAACAAAACAGAGGATCATAGGAGAAGGGAGGGAAAAATAAAATAAGACAAAATCAGGGAGATAAATCATAAGAGACTCTTTTTTTTAAGATTTTATTTCTTTATTTGACAGAGAGAGACACAGCGAGAGAGGGAACACAAGCAGGGGGAGTAGGAGAGGGAGAAGCGGGCTTCCCGCTGAGCAGGGAGCCCGATGCGGGGCTCGATCCCAGGACCCTGGGATCATGGCCTGAGCTGAAGGCAGACGCTTAACGACTGAGCCACCCAGGCGCCCCTCATAAGAGACTCTTAACTCTAGGAAACAAACTGAGGGCTGCTGGAGGGGAGGTAGGTGGGGGGTTGGGGTTACTGGGTGATGGGCATTAAGGAGGGCACTTGATGGAATGAGCACTGGGTGTTATATGCAACTGATGAATCACTGAACTCTACCTCTGAAACTAATCATACACTATGTTAATTAAATGAGTTTAAATAAAATTTTAAAAATAAAGTAATTATTAATAGGTAGGCGCTTACTGCCATTTTGTGCCTTGTTTTCTGGTTGTTTTTGTAGTTCTTCTCTGTTCCTGTTTTTCTCTTGGTCTCTTTCTTTGTGGTTGATCGGTTTCTGTAGTGTTATGTTTGGCTTTCTTTTTCTTTATTTTTTGTATATTTATTATAGGTTTTGGGCATGAGGTTAATTCTTTGAGTCAATGACATTACTATTCCTCTCATCAGTCCTTCTTTAAAAAGTGTAATTGACTCTACAAGAAAAAGAGTCAACCATTTACCCTCACACATTCTAATTTTGCTAAAGCCAGTAGTAAGGAGAAGCAGATATCTGGGGTTTTCCTACTGTTGAGTGTGTGGGCCTGAGTCGCAGTTCATCTGTCCGTCATTCTTTCTCACAAAAGTTTTAAGCACAGAAGAAATGCTTTATTTGGATCCTGCCACTGCAGTTTGCCTCACCAGCCCCACCATCCAGTTCAGGCCTCTTCCTGCCCACTGCCTAGTGGGATGAGAGGATGGCTCCTTACCTATGGCCTCATTGTGGCCTTACAGGGGTGACTTAACGTCTTTTGAAATAGTTTTCACTTTATCATGTTGAACATTTACAAAGCAGAGATAATAAAGGACAGTATCTTGGTTCTATAATGAAAAAAAGGCCAGTAACTTTCTAGTAAATTATCTAATTACACTTAAATATTGAGCTGATTCTAAAGGAACCTCAGATTTTTTTTAAGAGAGAGCGTCAGAAAGGGGGCACCTGGGTGGCTCAGTCAGTTGAACGTCCGACTCTTGGTTTCGACTCAGGTCATGATCTTGGAGTCCTGAGATCGAGGCCCCCATAGGGTTCTGTGCTCAGTGGGGAGTCTGCTTGAGATTCTCTCCCTCCTCCTTCTGCCCCTCCCCCACTTGCTCACGCGCTCTCTCTCAAAATAAATAAATAAATCTTTAAAAAGGAAAGAGAGCATGAGAAGGCAAAGTTTTTTCTCTTGCATGTAAACAAAGACAACGGGTAAACATCTAGGGCAGGTATGAAAGCATCATGATAATTTGGGACCCATGTTTCTTCTACCTTGTTATGGTATCCGCCTCATGGGCCAAGATCGCTGCTGGAGTTTCAGCTATCCCATCCAGATTCCAGCTGTCAAGACAATTCCCAGAAATTTCATGCAGAAGCACTTTGTATATCCTTTGGGCTGGAGCTTCGTACGTGGCTATACTGGCTGCAAGGGAGGCTGGGAATGTAGTCTTTATTCTGGGCACTCTTGTGCCTAACTAAAAAAAAAAAAAATGAGTCTGTTTTAAAGAGTAAGGAGATAATGAGTATCAGGGGATAAGCCGTCTCTTCTTGGTACATGAAATGAAATCTCAAGTGTTGTAGTGTGTCTTCTTTATTGTAAAGTACCTACTACCGGAGATACTTTCATTTCAAGATGAGGGAAGGACCAAAATAGGATTAGAAAGGACAGTGCAGGCATTTTACTATTGTCCTACTTAAAATATACAATAAAACCTTCCACTTAAATCTGGACATAAGCATATAAGAACCTTGAAGAAAAAAATCAAATACACACACACACACACACACGCACCAAGAATTATGGGGAATCGAAATAACTGAATAAATAAACTAACTAAATAATTGAAAATGGGGATGCCATTTTCTGTTTCACCGATGGCTTGATTGCCTTTTCTCTTGCAGCTACCTGCTCCCAGATGATAGCAAAGCTACCAAGCACAAAACTCTCGTGGTAAAGAAGAGTGTTAACCCTCAGTGGAATCATACTTTCATGTTCAGTGGCCTGAACCCCCAGGACATAAAGAATGTTTGCCTAGAACTTACCGTCTGGGACAAGGAGCCCTTTTCCAGCAACATCTTTCTGGGAGGAGTTCGTTTGAATTCTGGGACCGGTGAGGGACTTGGGGACCCTGAGATGGTCTGTGACTAGGCATGGGGCGGGAGAGTGGTTCCCGCAGGTTAATATGTAGCAGATGTACATGTAGCTTCAGCTCAGCTGATTCCTGAAATTACCACAGATCCTCCATTCCTTTAGCCAAGAGTCTGCTGGTTAAAATAAAATCTTGTTAAAATAAAAATACTGCTTCATAGGTTCGTATCCTTTGGCTCTAAGTTTAGGATATATAATGTTTATATTCAGTCCTTTTATAAAATATCACTTACACTTTAAGTGAATTTCAACTACTTTCGTGGGTCTTATTTCGGGTTTTTCTCAGGAGAGGATACAGGGGAGAGAACGACTTCCAAGACCAACTTTACTTCATCCTCTTCTCAGATGACTCACTGGTTGAATTGAAAGGAAACCCATTCCCCCCCTCTCCTAAAAAATAACATCTAATGTTGTTCAAACGGATTGTGGAAACATGCCGCTGATGCCACAAGACACGACCACAACAGGGCGGATTGGAGGGAAATGCCGGTGGCAGAGCCCGTGTAGTTCCGCAAGACCCTCATTATCCCAGAACGTACGTCAGACGTGAGGGTCTGCGCGCACCACGGTCCATACTCCTGTTGAGAACAATCCCACCTCTGGGGTGCTGTGCTTAGTTACAGATTAAGGAGAGCCAAACATATCTATACCACTAAACTGAAAACTCCCCAGGTCAGAGAAGTGGCCTTGTTAAAAAAGGAGGGCCTCAGAGCTCACTTCAGCCTGTTCTTCTGTCATGTTAACTCAGTCCCGATGAGCCAGCTCTCTGACAAACTACCGCAGCTGGGGAAGAAATGAGCCAGGAAGGCCATCCTGATTTGTTTCTCATTATCTTGGCAGAAGAGCGTAGTGCCGACTGCAAAGGGAGTCTGTCATTCTAATACTGCTCACTAGACAGGGTAAGTGAAAATAAGCCAGTGAAGGACTCTCTGCTCAATAAGGCCCCCTCGAGAGGTTGATAGGTGTCTTCCAGAAGATCAAAACATTTCATCTGTGAAGTGTAATGCTCCCTTATCCCTTCCTTAGGTGTGAGCCATGGGAAGAATGTGGATTGGATGGACTCTCAGGGGGAAGAGCAACGCCTGTGGCAGAAGATGGCCGACAATCCTGGGACTCCTGTCGAGGGTGTACTCATGCTCCGGTCCAGCATGGGGAAGTGTAGGCTCTGAAGGTACCAGTCTCCAAAGTGAGGCCTCCAGGCGCTGTCTGGCTGCCATTTGATCCCAGTATCGGTCTTGGGACCTGGCATTCTGCTTCCCTGCCATTTCTCACCTGAGGGTAGAGATGTCTGTGTTATGAACATTTACAGTCTTGCCGAGTGTCTAAAAGAGCATGTACCTCTATGTGTCCAGGGGCCAGGGCCTTTTTGATTGGATGATAGAAAGGGTGCCACACTGTCCTATCAACAGGCAAATTGCGCAATGATCCATAGGCTTTATACCGTAAGGGAAATGGCACAAGCTTCTTTGAAACTACAGTTGAAATTTGGACTCCCTAAACTTTTCCTATTATTGAGTTATTTTGCATTTCCTAAAATGGTTTGAGGGATAAAGGGGCCACCCATAATGTAGATCACTTGAAGAGTAAGAAGGGATACTGGCTACCCTTTTCTCACCCTGGGACTTCCCATAATCCAAAAAAAAAAAAAAAAAAAAAACGCATTGTGGGGGTGGTTGCTTGCACAAGGAGATGGCTCTGTTATTGTAGCAAACTTGTGGATTAACCAGGTAAGTTTTCAAGATGAACGGACCAGTTTTTCTATGGTGACTATATAATCTGTCATCTAAATCAGCCCACTTTTGAGAAGCAAAGAACTAAATCTTTCTACCCGAACAACAGATGTAAACCAGGATCGACCTGGGGAAAGGGAGATGCAGGGTCACCTTAGTTATGACCTAGCAATTAGAGAGCTCCATTGTAAACATGTATGTTATAAAATATTCTAAGCCACTAACTACAGGGGAATAAGAACTAATGTACATTTTGAGCCCCTGCATGTATCATATCTACTGATATCCCATTGGTCAAAGGAAGTCATATGGCCAAGCCTAAAATCAAGAGGCAGGGAAATATCCTCTGCTCACAAAGGAGTCGCGGCAAGGATGAGATTGCAGGAAGGGAAGAAGAATCGTGGCCAGTAGTTCAGTCTACTATACCTTCTATTACCTGGAATTCCGGATGCGTTAGCCACCAAACTTAGATGCAAAAGTAGTTAAAGCTAAAAGGTAGCTCAGACCTCGTTCCTTATGTTGCGTATTCCACATCTGAAGCCCCCAGAGAGCTGAAGTGACTTACCCAAGATCGTACAGAAGCTCTGACTGTATCCAGACTTAAATCCAGGGTGTGACTTGTTGGCCAGTATTCTTTCCACTGGAGCCCTTGGCATGATCTTATGCTCATCAGGGTGGACGGGAGGGCAGAGATGAAGGAGATGGAGAAGAGTCGGGTCATTTCGGTGTGAAGTTCCTGACTCCTTCTTCTTCTGGAGTCCTGTTCTTAGCCCCTCAGCTCATTTTTTCACTTGAATTCATATAAAATCTTTGAAAGGATAGAAATGGAATTTTAGTGGTACGAAAGCTAGAATCATCTTCAGACTTACTCCAGCTAATTTTTCCATATTCTGAATTTCTTCTTGAATTTTAAAAACTGAATTAAGAATATATTTAACATTATTGTTGGGAATAAGCAGTCCATTTTTAATATTATTCAAAAATAGGCTAATTCTCAGAAGTTGAAGTTATTGGTCTAGTGTATATGGAACATTTTTTTAAAACTCAACACTCATATCCCTATGCCGCTCTTCTTAAAAACAGAAAACAAAAACTGTAAGATCATCACTCCTTCCTATATTGGAAAAATTAGTTGTCGGCAGACTTGATCTGACTCATTCTGTCTTCAGTGACATTTTTAGGGCATGTGAGAGGGTGATGTTGGTGAAGTCTGGAGACCTCTCCAATGTAAACAAAAGAAAGTAGATTTATTCACTAATAATAAAAGCGGAAAAATAATAAATTCCAAAATTTATAGCTTGGACTCTAGATGAGTAAAGCTCTATGTGTTCAGACCTTTGCCACTTTTAGAGCAAGTCTCTGTATTCTGGTTTCGTAAAATCCAATATCTAACTGGGTATATCCATAATGCAAAAACCCAGGTATGCAGAAGTCCATCAGAAACGTGTGGTGTTGCTCTCAGAAAGAAAAGGCAAATTGATCTTTCGGGTCACTTGGTTTTACTGAGTGCTGTGTAGAAGTACACATTTTTTTTTCAAATATAGGTAATACATGTGAATGGCACAAAATTTAAATAGTTCAAAATTGTGAAAAGTAAGTCTGCCTTCTTTCTTACCTTACAGGCGGATAGCAAATTTTTTAACCACGCCTATCAAATGCCACATTAAATATGCTTAACAATGCTGTCTACATTTGGCGGCTTTTCTGAGAACCTTTCCTTTCAAACATCAACACTTCAACCTTCAAAATGAGACATATGTATTATGCAGCCATTCCACTTTGGGGTATTTATCCTACAGAGATAAGATACAGATGGGAGAAATGAGTACATATGAAAGTATTTATTGCCAAAGATAGGAAACAATCCAATAGCCCATCAGTAGAGGCCTTCCGTCATAACATAAATGCCTACTTTCTTTGTTTCATTAGTTGCTCCTTCTCTGCTAAAGATTGTTCAGTGATAAACACTGGATTCTTCCGTGCTCGTTCTTTCTTTCCTCCTCACTGCATACACCCTCTCAGGCGTTATCATGTACGGTGCCTCAGTGGTTTTCTCAGCTTATAACTTCACACTCACATCTCCAACCCAGACCGCCCCTCTCAGCCGCAGCCCCAGATCCAGCTGCCTATATGACGTATCCACCAGGATAGTAGCTCATGGTTTCAACAGAGTCAAGACTAAACTCTTCCTTCCAGCCTTCCTCTTGGACCCCATTTCTGTCTACTTCAGTACATCCTGTCTCAGTCCGTCGTGCCATCATCTACCCAGTCACTGTAAGTACTACAGTTACGACCCAGGACAGCTCACCCCACCCTATTTCAGCACAGATCAAAGCACAGAGGGGGGCACTCCAGCCCAGCTCTCCCTATCACCTTCTCGGAAGAGACCGTGGCCTTGCCTGGAGCATCATCCTCCTTATTTGGAGATCTCAGCCCTCAATTTTCCCTCAGTTGAATCAGACAAGGTGTAAAGGGACACGGACAAGCTTTAAAGCCTGACTTTATCCGTTCAGTTTATCAACAGCACTTGCAGAACACATGGAAAGTTATTTATCAGCTCTCATTTCATTCACATTGTCACTGTAACTGGAATCATCAGGATGTAGATTTTCCAGGTCACAAAAATGCCAAAAACAAAGATATTTTGATGGGACTTCATATTTCTGGCCTCTTTTTTCCTTAATAAATTTATACAAATCTATGACCAATGATCATTAAGTACTTAAGTAACTAATGGATGAATTCACCCCACCGGAATCACAGTAATATTGATCTCATCATCACCTGCTACCCCAAGGTTTCTATTTGGTGGGGGAGGAGAAAGCTATGGAAGAAATAGGGCAAATCCCACTTTTAGAAGCAAAGGAGATCCAAATATCAAGTAAATCCCAGAAGTACCTCAGAGTAAAAGCCTATGGCATTTGGGACTGTGATCAATGTTTATTTTTTGTTCCATGTAGATATTTTGCGTCAAACTGAGCATTGCCCTTAGAAGTTGGCAGAAGGGCTTTCCTCCTACTATGGTACCATTTATGGCTTCTGAAATTAAAACAAATAGGAGGAAATCTACACAGGCAACACTATCACAAAAATTGGAAAGTTTGAACAATAGCCATGGAAATTGGGCCACATCAAGGATTCCAAAGGATTGTCTGAATCATCTGGAGTGTGAATTTAATACATTGATTCCAGAGCATTGCTCCAAACCTACTGAACAGAATTTCCAGGAATTTCCATCATTTTTATCAAGCTTCTTGGGTGATTCTAATAAAAATGGATCACAGTTTGAGAAACACTGCATTAGAAGACAAAATAGCTCGACTCTGTTGTTTGGACCAGCTCTGTGTCATGATGGCAGATTGGATTTGGCTAACGTGGACGTTGTTCATTGCAAGGCAACCATGGTGAGGTGGAAGGAGCCTAACCTCAGACTCAGATGATATTAGCTCAAGTCTCGACTAACCAACCGTGTGACCTCAGTCAAGTTAATTATCCAGTCTAGGCCTTGATCTGTTTGCTTGTAAAATAGGAATAATTGCGCTAACTTGGAGTTACTGAAGACATGAAATAAAGTAATATATGTAAATATGCTTTGTAACACACTGTGGGGGGATGAGGTCATTGGTGAGCTAGTTACAGCACTCTGGTGCATAATCTCTTAGGCCCTTTTTTTTTCCTGAATGCTTTCATTAGGGCTTGATCATTCTATATAAAGTGAAGTGGTTTCCAGTGTACAGCAGAAATACAAGAAAGAAAAAGAAAAAAAAAAAACCCTTATTTTGTGCTATGTTATCCATCGTGCATGATAGTAATTTATTTATTTTCAGGCTGGAATGTCCTGCTTCATCTGACTAGACAATAAATATTTCAAAATATGTTTTATTTGATGGAGAGAAAAAACTGTGGTCCATTTTTTGTTATTAGGTTGTGGAATCTGCAAGTACATCATGTTGCCACACTTTTCCTTAACACCCTCTTCCATTGTGAGGACCATCTCTTTCTGTGGCCCGTTGTCTATCCTTCACGCCAGGGAGATCAAACCTGCCTTCCTCACGGGGATGTTGTTTAGAATCATGCTTTTTTATTTGCAGAAGGAAATGTACCATTCTGGTGAAACAAATTCCATAGAAATACAAGCTACTGTTGTCATTATGAGGAATGCATAGTGTTTCAAAGATTCACAGTTGTACATCATTTACCTCACTAGAATTCATCAAACTGTTCTGGTAGAGGTTTCCTTCCCTTTTTGGAAAAGAGAAGTGGAATATATAGTCAGTGTTGCCTGTGAATGACAGAACACTCATATAGGGTAGTAGATCGTATCTTTCTCTTTAGTATTTCAGCACAAAAGGAGACTCATTTCTGCTTTCCTTTTTCCTTGGTTGAGGCAAAAACCAATACAGCAAGCAAATAAAATATTACTATAGTTAAAGCAAAAG